ATACAATCACATGAGGGGTAAGGATTTCAACATATAAATTTTGGGGGAACACAAACATTTAGACCATAGCCTTGTTGTTATTGTTGTTGTTGGTGGTGGTGGTGGTGGGGTGTGTGTGTGTGTGTGTGTGTGTGTGTGTTTGACCTTTAAGTATATGAACATTGTCTTGGATACTTGTCAGTGTTGAGTCTTTGCTATTTGTTCAAGTAGTGACAAGGGAGATAAAAAAAAAAACAGAGTATTGATAGTCTAGGAAGTATATAAATTACTCACACAAAAATACAGCACAATTCTGCAATTAAAACAGCAATCAATGAGGTTCTAATATATATTAAATGAGAATGAAAGGTACTGTGAGTTCATGCAGAAGTGGATATTCTCCCCCCAAAAAAGTATGGAAGTAATGGTGGTCAAAAACAGTACAGTAAATGACTATTATTAAGCACAGTGTTACAAGTCTAACTTCCATAAAGGACCTCTGCAGCATCAGAAAAACAACATCTCAAAAAAGTTATTTAAAATAGTCGACCCCTAAAGAGATTTTTTTTTTTTTTTTTTGCTTAGCCCAGATCAAATTTCTGAAGAAAGCAATGAATGCCTCCTATTTCTGAGAAGCCCAAGGCTTATGAAAACATTTAAATCTTTAACTCTCATCCTTTTTTTTTTCTATGTATCATCTCTTGCCAACAAAATATTTAGCAGGCTTGCAGAACTGAAGAGATAACCAGCTACCCCATCCACCAGGGAGGCGGCAAGGAAAAATCCACCCATGGTTACTTAGAGCCAACTCAGTTTGAACTCAATCAAAGTTCATTGATTTACCCCTTTTTGAAGCAGATTTATTCTGAAATGATCAGAAAAAAAAATTAGATAATGGATAAAAGGAGGGAATACATTCCTGACATTTCACAGTAAAGCTGGGGCAACTTTAAGCAAAGTTATTCCTAAATGATGCTGCCTCTCCATTGGACTGCCAAGCCCAGTGTGGAAAGGGACAGACTGCATTGATATTGCATAGTTAACCCACGAGTAACTGGCTTTTTCCTTGTCTTGTGCATACAAGCCAATAACTCTGTCCTCCACTCAAACTCTTATTGATTGATAAACTCTTATACTGATATTCTTGATGTGCTTAACCTGATAATGATATGTCTACATCCTTAATTACTACAATCATATAGCATTTCTTGAAGGTAATATAAAGAGCAGTGGCTATAAAGGAAAACAGAAACTTGCAAAAATATTTGAAAAGGCCTAGGTCATATACTAAAGCACATAATTAAAGGCCTCTCTGATTCATTGGAAGAGATCAATTTAGAACAGTATTCTCACACTGTTAACATTCAACATAATATAACTTAATCAGAATTTTCCCTTGTCATTTATCTCCAACAATCTCTAAGTCACAAACAATACGTAATTTGGTTGATACTTTAGTTATGTAATTTTCTTCCTCTTAAAATAAAATATTCTGCTGGTTTCTTAATGTTCTTTTGAATAGTTCAGATTCCAAAGACTGAAAATATCATTTGAAGTGGCCCTAAGAATAACCAAGAAACAGTTTCCAACATAGGAAAACGCCAATTCAAAATAGAGGAGTTCAAAGGATTAATGACAAGTTAACAGCCCCATTCTTTCCTCTTTAACTTTAAGATCTACTTGTAATTTAAATAAAACTTCAAAATAAAAGGTTATCATTATCCACCATCCAATGTTCATAGACTGCTTGCTAGTGAACTTGGAACTTATGGGAGTTTCCATGAGAAACATAAAACATCAACACTGATTTTAAAGAGTTTATAGTTGACTTGAGAGAGACAAAAGCAAAATTAAGGAACAATTGAGCTCTGTCTCATGAGATAGTTATTACAAGTTCATTAGATGTTCAAAGATCAAAGGTGGAAGAAATGCATTTCAACTGGCTTTGTCAGAATAAACCTTCTCAGAAAAGACAGGAGTTTGCATTGGTCTTGAAGAAAAAGAGGGATTTAGAGAGCAGGTGACAGTTTCAGGCTGGTTAACTTGGACGTTTCTAGGATATTTGACATCATTGTGGCCTCAAAGACCAGGAGTAGATAGACTGAGGATTTCAACAGCTTAAAATATGGTTGTTGGGCAATACAAGTAAAGTGGTTAACCAAATGTGGATAGCCATGGGGTGTTTGCAGTGACTATGAAGAAAGTGGCTTGTAACCTGGAAACCATTAAAAATTTCTCTAGTGCCTGACTTCCAATCCTGGATTTTTCTACTTCTTAACTCTTTCTCTGGCCTTACTTTCCGTAGCTGAAAAATGAGGATAGGATGATTTTTCTTATCTGCCTCAAAGAATCAATGTGAGGCTCAAAAGAATGAGCATGAAAGTGTTTTGGAAGCTGCAAGCCATTAAGAATGTTTTAATTCATATCACCTTACTCTGTGGTATCATGACTAAAATTCAACTGCTTTTGACAAACAGTAAATCTTTCAGGCAATCAGGATATTGACATTATTTTTTGATTTATTTTATTATAGCTTGGAACAAAAATAACACAGTGCCTTTCTCTGCTGCCTAGACACAGTGCCGATAAGGCAAATGGCTTCCCTTTAAATTGGTGATACCGAAGCAGTTAGTTTTCAAGAGCTCTGCTTCCTGTAGCACTTGGTGCTGTTGTTCTCAATGGCAGGGACTTTGGACCATCCACATTCCTATCTGTCTTTGCAAAAAGCTCACAACAGAGATACCTAAACAGGAGCCAGACATGGGCAACGGGCCAGAACGATTTCAGTGAGAACCCAGGTTAAGTTACGCATTGCTTCCTGATTAGGCTGAGCACCCGACAGCCCACTTCTAGTGGGGACTTTCTATTACAAGCTTCCCAGCTGGAAAAATTTTTTCTTTTTTTTTTTTTTGCCTTATATTCTATAAACAATCCACGGTAAGTTGATTCAGAGTGCAAACCAGGTGAAACATGCACATCTCTGAGTGTCAGGAGAAACTGGATTACTTGGTGCCAAAATTAAATCATATGTTCACTTAGATTTAAAATAGCTTATTTGTAACTCACCTAAACATACACACGCACATAAAAACTCAATAACCTATGTCATTCAAGTTGTATCATACTGTGGTTTATTCCCTGTGGTTAAGTTGAATTTAATTGCCAAGATTTTTAGTCACATTTTTGAAGTTTTGTCTTATCCACATCAGTGAGGCTTACCTTTTGTCTTTAGATACATTCTAATCTCTAAAAAGTCAATATAATAAATCTGCAAGCTGTCTTCCCAGATCACCACTCCCCAGAAGGATGAAGGATTACATTAGCTGAGTCAGGTATGATGCTGATGGTATCGGGAAGCTGTGCAGAACAGAGAACTTCTAGTTCAGCTTCCCACAAAGTGAGGGCAAACCTATCAGCCTTCCTCAAGAGAATTTCTTAAGTTCCTTCTAGACGAAAAATTCTAAAGGTCTATGACATCTCTTCCTTGCTCACCAATGGAGGTGATGTCCTGCTAAGGAAGATGTGTGGAGGAGTTAATCAAGTTCGCCAAGGTCACAGGGAACAAGGAAAAGAAATTGCCATGATTGTTTTCCGATTGCCATCGTGTTTACTGGTTGCCTTTGCTGGCCTACTCTGAGGACAAGGGTCTTGAGAACAATCCAGAAGAGGATCTAGTTAGATTTCCATGAGAGAAAGCCTAAGTACCATTCCAATATCATAACCATGCCTGCCACGGAGTTAGACATGTGAAAGACCTGGCCACTAGAACTTCAGTGTCTAACTACTCCCACAGATACAGAGAGAGGAGTGAGAGGGAGAGGAAGCGGGAAGCTACCTCACCCCTAAAATTCAGGGGGCAGCTCTGGGCTCACTCCGGGCTAGAGCAGGCCTGTGGAAACAGCCTTGGTCATACAACTGATCATGAAGCTGGATGGTTCCAGAAGTTTATATGTGTGAGTCACCCCTCCTTCCCACGAAATTGTTTGAGTGAAGCCAGAGTGAGTGCTGTCTTGCTCCCGAATTGATTCAAATCCCTAGACCAAACTTTCGGATGAGCCCCCCAAACTCGTCAGCACTCCCATCTTCCCTGAATTGGGTCAGTTACACAGGCGGCTAAGGAGCCACGGCTGGAGCAGGCTGAGGCTCTCTGGCATTGCTTTAGTCTGCACTCACTCTACCCAATCCCACCCCCAACAAAGACCATACCTCTTCCCATTCAATAGTGCATTCAACTGCAGAAAGCAAGGCATCATCTTCCAGGGCAATTTGCTGGGTGATTTTTGACAACTTTTGTTAAACCACCTTGGCACACATATGCTCGCTAAACTACAAGTAGAGGGTCTCCAGTAAGCATGCTTGATTTTGGAGCCTGATTCTGCCACTGACTTCAAGTGGAAGTAGAGACACTTTCGTCATATTATCTTGGCTTCTAAAGCTGGCTGAAGTCCAAAGAGTCATAAACTAATTTGAGGAAACTAAAATGACCTGCCTGCAAGCAGAAGAGGTAGGCCTTCCAGTTTCATGCAATTCTAACCATGAATTACGTTTCCTGAATGTAACAATAATAATAATAATTAGGGTTAAGGATGTTCAGAAATTTTTCTAAAGTCAAACCTCCTACTATTTTGGTTTCAGTCTTCCTCTTTAGACGGAGATGAGAAGCATCTCCCAGAAGACTCTGTCCCCCAGGAGAAGCTGGCCTTCGCCAGCCCCGGCTGGCCCAGGGGAAGAAATCTCAGGATTGCTCCACACCTCCGGCAGGAGCAGCGGTTGCATCCACGGCAGGGCCGGGCTACAACATACTCCGAAGGGACCGGACCGTTGCAGGCAGCTCCTCCCAGCCACCCTCCTCCCCAACTCCCGCTGCTCTGCCCCTCTCCACCCACCCCCTCCTTCCCCCGCCCCCCTCAGTCTGGGGAATTTCCCAACCATCCCAAAGCTTGAGTTTCCTGCCTGGAGGAAGGGATGAGTGCAGATAAAAGGGATGCAGAGGGCTTGGGGAAGCCACAGTGCTCTGGAGCTTCAAATCTCCGCGCCTCCTCCCGCCTCCTGAACCCGCGCCCTCTTGCCGCGCTCCCTTCGCCGCTATGAGTCCCCTGTCCAGCCGCGCTGCCCGCCTCCCCAGCCCTTCAAGCTCGCTGTGCGCGCTGCTCGCGCTGCTGCTGCTGACGCCGCCAGGTCCCCTCGTCAGCGGTGAGAGCGCACGGCACGCGGGACGCCCCGGGCAGAGCAGCGCGCCCCAGCCTCGTGGCGGCCGCTGCGTCCAGGGCGCGGGGAAGTGTCCCGGGCTGGGCTTGCTGGGGAAGAGCTCTCCCAGCAGCCTGCCTTATGCCGGTGTCTCTCTTTCTGCCCCAGCTGGTCCTGTCGCGGCCGTAGTGGCAGAGCTGCGCTGCGTGTGTTTAACCATCACACCTGGGATTCATCCCAGAATGATCAGTAGTCTGCAAGTGATCGCCGTGGGACCGCAGTGCCCCAAGGTGGAAGTGATGTAAGTCTTCGTGCGCTGCGGTGCCCACTGTGACCTTGGCAAGAGGGAAGTACCCCCAGCCTGGGTCTTGCGCCCCTGCAGCTCATGGACGCGTTCTCTCTTTCTTTCTGTAGAGCCACCTTGAAGAACAAGAAGGAAGTCTGTCTGGACCCAGAAGCCCCTTTGATCAAGAAATTCATCCAGAAAACGTTGGACAGGTACCTGTCACTTTGATCTTTGTGGTTTCTTAATCTCTCTTGGGAGTGTAGACTTCTAAAGGTCCTTATTGTCTGCCCGGAATTTGGCTATCACATGCCAGACCATGCTTAGAATATAAAGGTTGTTCAGGAGTACAGGGGAAAGTTATTCTGGAATCTCCTGAGAAAATTCTTATCATCAGTCTTACACGTACTTGCCTAAGAGGTTACACAGAACTCACTTCTGTAATGTATTTTTTGCTAGTATAGTCCTTGAGTTCACTTTTTGGTTTTTATTGATCTTAAGCTATATGTTCTGAAAACAGATTGGAGTAGACAGTGATTAAACTGATATAATTCTTTTCTCAACAGTGGAAACAAGAAAAATTAAGAGAAAGGACCATGCACTGGAAAAATTGCCCGGTTCTTCAGCAGAGCAGTTTTCTGGGGATCTCTGGATTCAGTGAAGACAAGAACCAAAGGCTGATTTTGCCAGCGAGTTAGGTTTCTTCATGAAGTCCCCACTTTGAGACAGGGTTGGGAAGAGGGACCTATGTTTGTCCCTGCAGCGTTCTGCTCAGCTTATGAAGTATTTAGCATAGCATTTCCTGCTATTTATTTGTTGCTATTTTATCTGCTATGTTATTGAAATCTTTGGCAATTGACTAAATTGTGAGTCGAGAATCACTGGTTGTTAATCTTTCAGGTGACTATTGTATTTCTAGAATATATTCCTCACAGTGTTACGGAAAAGGCTGCGGATTTAACGTGAATGATATTTCATTAGAATGCTGTATATGGAGATACACTGTTATCCTCATTCTTCTCATGAAACAGGAACTATTTTGGTATTGTTTATTGGGGAACATGTTAGAGAATTTCCTTACTCTTCACTTTGGGATACTATTTAAGTTATATTGCATTAGAAAGCTGGGTGTATTGTAGAATATAGTATATATCATATATGTGTGGAATATATTTCCTTATTTCAAATTTCTAAATGTTTAGGTTCTATAAGGACTAATATATTCTTTTCTGATAACTTTAGACATTTGATGTCTTCTTAGTATGGCATACTGTCATGACTTACTCATTAAACTTTGATTTTATATGGTATTTATTGACTATTTTATTATCAGTACTATAATTCTAGTCACTAAATATTATGTTTTGGACAGATGAAAAAGCTAGGAAATAGGTAAATTTCTTATTTCTAGTTTTTCTAGAAATGGATTCTCTTAGTTTTTTAAGAATAACAGCAAACTTAACAATGATCTGTACTCTGAAAGTTTTGAAAACATATTTGGGCTATTTGAATATAAACTCATCATTTAGTTTTCAAAAAAATACATAGCATTGCTAATATTTGTAGATGCTTATAGTGTATCTTTTTAAAGTTTTGACCATTTGTTATAAAGAATTATATATGCATCACATTTACTATGTTAAAATTGCATTGTTTAATTGTGTATGATTGGTTTATAGTACTTCTTTTGTTCTTTGGGAAAAAAAATAAAAGATTTATAAAATTCACTCATATTGTTTCTTCATTCTTATACTGTTACAAAAATTTTATCCTCTTTAATTCTACATTATTTTGAAAATTAACTATGCTCCTCTCTGGCTAGCAGAGAAGACCCTCATTTCCCAATGCCATTGCATTAGCTCAGCCTTTCTCCAAGCTCACTCCCCTTCCAGTTACTCCTTCAGGGTACCAACAGCCTCTAGGTTCTTTAGAAAATCCAAATAGGTAAGACTTCCATACCTTAGATCCTTAACTGGCTCCCTATTTCCTGGACATGAAATAAAAGTTGTGAAGTATGACAAATTAGGTTCTGTCCCATTTGACCTCTGGTTACTACTTCAACTTCCCTTTTCCCTGACATCTTGGCAGTCAGGAGCATAGTTTCCTAACTGGGTGTGTCCTTTCCTGGGTCCAGGCCTTTGCATTTGCTAGGGCCTCCACCAGGAAGAGCCTTACTGCTTTGCTTTTCTGCCTATAGAAGGAAGCTTTTTCTTCCTTCAGAACTCAGCTCAAACAATACCGCCTTCATGAAGTTTGCTTTGGCACTCCCAGCAGAATTGGTGGTTCCATTTTGATGTTCCCATAGCGTCTTCTAGATACTTGAATTTATTTGAATAGCAAATATTGCATTGCTTTTATTTATTTGCAAGTTTCTTTAGCTTACTCTACTAAGAGCTCTCCCCAAGCATCAATCATACTTCATTCATTTCTGTATCCCTAATACCTGACACAGTAAGTTACCCTGACCCTGAGGTTGTCAGACAGTGTCCTAAAATCGATAACCTGGCTCATGTAGGTATTGAATAAATTGTAACTCCTTTACCCTCTTTTCTCCTTCTTGTCTACAAGTAATCCAACAAGAGCTTTGGCAGACACAAGCCCCTCAACCGGTAACACCTACCCCTCACTTTCACCTGGAAACCTCTCATCCTTCCTTTGGGGACAGTTTACCTGTCACTTAGAGTCTCTCTGACCCTTACCTGCACCAGATTAAGGCCTCTTTTATATTTTCTCATTGAACTTTGTTCTTTTCCTTCGTAACATTTTGTCACCAACGTGACTATAAAGTGTATAGAAACTGTACATGTGGTCATGTATTTACTGTCTATTCCAACTTCACTGTAAGCTCCATGGAGGCAGGGACCGTGTATCATGTTCATCTCAGTTCCTAGGAAAGGAGGTGCTTAAATAGATGAATGATCTAAGCTGAACAAGTCCCACTATCTCTCTAGTATGAAAATAGCAATTTCATGTAACAGCTCATTCTTAGGAAAAGCAAGAAAACAAAAGGAGAGTAATCCAATTAGTAGACATTGGATTAATATATTATATATTGGCATGTATTTGTATATATTAGTGTATGTTAATACATCATTAGTATATGTGTATCTAGCATAAGTTATTCTACATCTTTTTATCTCTCTCCTTACATATAAAATATCAGTTAGATCAATATATGTACTATTATTATATTTTTTTTATATATATATAATAGAGAGAGAGAAATACAAAGATCCGGAAAAACCTAGAGTAGATTCAAAGGGATGGGTTTGTGGACAAGTTTTTCAGCAATATAGAAAAGCACAAAAAAACTCAAATTTAAAAAAAAATTCATTAAACTTCTGTGGTCTCTTTTTTCTCTTTCAAATAGTTCTCTTTTTTCTTTGAAACTATGAATTATACACTAATCCTTGGGAAACACTAAAAAAGCAAATCAGATTACCATAAATGTTTGAACTATAAATTTCAGTGTTTTAAACAATGCCTGATTTTTCATATAAGCCCCAAAATACTCATTGAATAAGTGCCTGATAATGATAAATGAAAGCATATTAAATGCCCTTTGTTGGGCAAAATATATGTTTTGTGAAGAAGTAAATATTACTGGTTACTTTTTCCTAATCATTTTTCAAGATCTTTGTTTTTCCCAAAAACAAGATTTATATGCTTAATTTGTTCATAAACCATAAAATAAGACCTATTCGTAATATCCTTACAATTCTATTTGTCATGCCTATGCTATAATTGGTGGTTCTATAAAGAAAATAGATTACAATATATTACCGGTTTAACCTATACAGGAACCTCAATGACAGCCACTACTCAACAATCCTACTGTTAGTATTGATCCTGCCACTAGCAAACTCAAGGACTAACGAATCTGGAGAAAATTAATCTGATATATTTCTTCTAGGGATATATCGTACATTTTCCACATACAAACCCCTAAATACTATTTTCCCTCTGTTATCCATTTGAAACTCTCTGTCATACATAAAATCACTGGGAATGGAACAAGTGGTCAGCCAAAATCTACTCTATGTTACTGCTCTACTCCAGACAATTTTTAACATGTAATTATAGCCCTTCATTCTACCAGACTTTCCTGCTTGTCTCCGGGTGTGACACATTCACATAATCCCTCAATTCCTGAAGGTATGACAAGATCTATGATAAAATATGACTAGTGGCTTTGTTTTCCTATCGTAGTTTAAACTCTGGCAGAAGGAAAAGAATTGCTGTGGGTAACTCTCATATGGTACATAACTTCAAAAATCCTTCCTGGATGTTACATTACAAATTGAGAAATTTGCCAGACAGACTGAACACCTGGGGATTTCGATTTGCCTCCCTGACTAAATCATGGAAGACAAGGACAGTGCACATGATTCTGATTTTGGCTGACGGTCCTGGTTTGCTTCTAGTCAGCAAAATTATCCTGAGAAGGATTGTTCATACTTGAAATATGTAGAGTGAAATTATGACATAGAAAGACCTAGAGCTGAGGTGGAAAGTTTTGTTTCTACAAAGTCTAGAGTCCTGTTTCCTAAATATTGGAAAATTGCAAGAACTACCCCCCCACACCCGAAAAATCCATGTTCTTAATGGATGTATTTCTGTGGCCATATAAACGTGCGATGATTGTTTCTGACCCTCCTCTGGGGCTAGACAAAGGGAGAAATAGTTATTCATTTCCAGCAAGAGAGGCCAGTGATGCTTCTTTACAGTTTGTGGTGCAGTACAAAGTCAGAGCCATTGTGTTTCAAATACAGTTTTGAGTCTTTCTAGCTATGTGACCTTGGCAATTTATTTAACATCTCCATCCCTCAGTTTTCCCATCCATAAAATCAGTACAATACTGTCTATCTCACAGGCACCAACTGCTAATTCTGGAACAAAGTAGATGCTTGATAAATATTAGTTCCTTTCCCAAGTCTCCTAATTTAAACTCTCCTTTACAAATGAGAAAACTGAGCATTTTGTAGTTTAAGCACTCTTATTTTCTCTAATTTATCCATATTCTTTCTACCTATGCATGAGTGATTAAAGTTAGTCCTCCTAAAAATTTATTTCCACAAGTCTTTTTTAGGAAGCTTCTGGAAACTTCTGACAGATATATTTTCTGACATTTATAGGGTAATGTCATCAACACGTGTGGCGTATTTTCCTTCTTATAAACATTCATCTATCAAATATCCATTTATTAATAATCTTGTTACATATTGGACCCTGTCCAGGATCCTTATGATATAGAGATTACAAAGATGAAATTTTCAGCCTAAGTTAAGGTCTTTTGGCAGCAAATGTACTGAGTTTTCCCTGACAAAGCTCTACTCGGAAGCTGAACGAAAAGGGATTAGATTTTTTAAAAAGAGAGACAAAGAGAGTCTTAGGTGGAATTCTCTAGAATCAAACTCTGAGAGGAGATTTATGTGCAGGAAGTTTATTGAGGAGTGCTCGAAAAATTAACATCTGTCAGGAAGTAAGGAAGCAGCACTGGGCAGAGGGAAAGTTGCTGATACAACAGAAGACTGAGGTGATTCTATGAGAAGCTCTGGAGCTAGGTGGCCTTTCAGAGTTATTTCTGAATTGTGGCAAGGAAGGCAGACCTCTGTATGCCCCCATTGACCAGTCATTAGGTGTGGGCCACCCCTGGGGAGTGAACATGATTTTGGGTGAGGCAGTTCCCTTAGTCAGTGGGCTATGCCCAGAGATGGCCTCAGCTGTGAGCTATCTGCAGGCATCATTCCCAGCAGGTGGAGAAAGCCATGGTGCACCACCCAGAGGATCCTGAAAGGGCATGTAGGTGGTGCACCATGATTTCAAGGGCAGGGGAGGGGAGGGGAGGAAAGAGGAAGAGAGGAAATAGGAGAGAAGAGAAGAAGAAGGGAGAGGAGGAGGGGAGACGGAAGGGCAGGGGAGAAGAGAGGAGGGGAGGGAGAGGGAGAAGAGGAGAGGAGAGGGCCTGTGTCTTGTTCTTTATTTTCTTCTTCTTTCTTTTTTCTTCCTTCTTTTCTCTTCCCTACTCTCCTTTCCCCTCTCTCCTTCCCTTCCTCTTTTCCTCCTTCCTTCCTCCCTTCCGTTCTTCATTTACTCCTGAGAAGTAAAATGATGCTGCTTAAAAGAGGAAGAGGAGCAGGAAGAGGACTAAGGTCCCCCAGCAGAAATCTCAGCCAGCAGCCAGCACCTCCCACGTGAATGGGGCCATTGTGGACTTCTCAGCCATTCCCACTGCCCTCTGACTGCACCCATTTTTGTGAACTCAGGCAAGACTGACAGCAGAAGAACCTCTCATTCACATACAGAATTATCAGAAACAATACATTGTTGCTGTAAGCCGCTAATATTAGGGTTGGCTTGTTACACAGCGAAAGAGGATCAGCATGCATTTGATGTTCAAAAAATGATATTAATCAACGTTAAATTAAAATTCTCAGGCCTGCAAAACTTTGCAGTGCTCCTGTATAATAGCACACAGGCAGGTAGTTCCCCTTCAACACTTCCACTACCCTCTTCCCACTCCCACCCCAGCTGTATACAGCCTCAGGTGAATGAGGGCCGGAGTAATTGAAGTCTGGAGCACTCTTGTCAACTCCGAGTTACACAGAAAACACATTTGGATTCAGCAATTACAGGAAATCATTTGTTGGCTAGTATTTCAATTTGCTGATTAAGGTGCTTTAACAAACTGATCTCAAATTTTATTATCCTTAGGATCTTCTGTACCAATTGCTTTTATGACTAATTTGCAGGTGATAGCTTATTTCCTTCATACCTGGGAGACGACAGTCAAAATGTTCTATGTAAGGCAGAGTTAACAGATGTGTTAATTTTAATATACAATGGTCCTCCAATGTCTCTAGATATTTTCTTTTAAAATAGCTAACAGATAAGTTCTGTTTTGAGTCTTAGAAAACTTGCTAATTTCCTTAATGACTCTGCTATTTATAAAATGACTTAAAGGAAAAAGAGATAAAGTAACTTACCACCAAAAAAAAAAAAAAAACCAACCAGGGTGACAATGTAAGATTTATAAAAAAGGCTATCAAGTTATTTTTAAACTCAAGAACCTCTGACACTAGTTTTTTGCTATTCATTTAAATTATAATTTTGTATAGGCTAACTTCTTTAAAAATGAAGAATCGATTAAAAAACCGATTTTAAAATATCTTTTGCCCATTTCTGTACACTCAGTTTATCATTGTCTATAGTGTGTTTCTCTTGATGGAAATCAAAGAAATAATGCAAATGACAGTAATAGCAGTTGCCAGTAGTAGTAATAATAATAGATTAGCATTTAGAATTCTATTGCTTTGTGCAAATATTTGAGGTTTCACTTTTAAAAAAGAAATAGTTAAATGACTAAGCCACACAACAAAGAGAACTTTGTAATGCCTGGAACATAGTAGGTGCTTAATTAATATTTATTGACTAAATAAAAACTAGCAAAAAATTATTTACCTCAAATGCTGACTAATAAGCTTGTGAAATTTTAGTGACACAAGAAATTTTTTAACACTTCCTCATGAACCTTGCTGACGTATCTTTTGTGACAACTTACATTTGTTGATTAAGACCATGACTGGATGATACTGTACTACATGGGTCTAACCTCTTTCCTGGCACCAACTAACTCAACTATCATCATTAGTTCAGAAGAATCTCTACATAGTTTCTTTAAGAGGATTAAGAACTTTGGAGTAATCTTACTAAATGAACCAGGAAAGAAATTTGGATAATGTTTGTATGGGGGGAAAACATATCCAGTGAAGCCAATAAATATAGTAAACAATATGTGTTGGGGGGTTGCGACGGACAGAAAAATAAAGATCCTGTGAATAATGCTAAAAACCTTCATATCTTGTTCTGGAAATGGTTTTGAGCTTACGTTTGAATAAAAATATACCTGATTTGCGAGTTAACAATATTTCAATCACGATAATGGGGAAAGGCTATAAAGTCATCACTCAGGAAGAACTAGAAAAAAGTGTGCTCTCCTTATTCTGTTTCCTGGTGCAGTTCTGGCTATAGTTCACCCCCTATCTCACCTCTTAGAAGGATATTAATTTTCAGCTTGAACTTTTCCTTAAGCTTGCTTCTTAGCCTACGAATTTCTGGGATTGAGAGAGGTGGAAAATCATTTTAATTTAATATGTTCCACTGCTAGACTGTTAGTTATAAGAGGAAAACAAATAGGGTGGAGAAAAATAAGGAATATATTAAAAAACAGGAGCTAAGAACTTAAGTAGACATAGTTGGTAACTGTTGAACAGGGAAAATTGGCTTAGAAGTTAAAAAATAAAAAGGTTGGAAAAAATTATTTACTGTAATCATTCTTTTGATAAAAAGTAATTTTGTACATTTAGTGTTTTGAGAGTTTCTTCTGGAATTTTAAATAAGCAAAAAAGAAAATGGGAAGTTTAAATATTGTGTGAGATGTGTATATAGTTGTAAAAGGAAGACAATTTGTGGCCAGAGCCTCATCCTTCATGCCCATCCTTCCAAGTCACCTTTTTATACCACAAGTACTTTGGGCTGTGTGGAGTTTTGTTTGATGTGACTGATTAGAAGGGAAAGAGAAACTTTCCTTCATGTGATACATATTCACTGATTTACTCACTAACACTGTTTAAGACCCACTGTCTATTGCATTATCTTACATGCTATAGGATGCATGAAGCCTCAAAGAAACCTTGGACATGCCTCTGTCTTCAAAAGTGTACAGTCCAGTTGAGGAAGCAAGTCTTGTAAATGGGACACAGATCCAGGCAACAACATATACAAGCCAGCACATGTGGGTTCACCTCTGTATCTCCGTGGTGCTTTGTCTATATCACGTAGGGTTTGAGATCAAGACCCTTAATTAGAGTCTGAGAATTGAGGAATAAATATCTTATTGCAGTTTGTATAGTGCAAAACTAGAAAGACCCTCAGGGTCACCAACAAGACAGAGGTTGCACAATTGCCTAAGCCATAGAATCGGCATGCGGCCATTAAAAAGAATGGGGCAAAACTACATTGAGGTAGCATGAAAGGATGCTGAAGACATAGTTTGAAGGACAAAAGCTGTGTAATGATCCCATTTATATAAAAAAGGTCTTACGTCTATGCCTATGTGTGTATATATCTATGTATCTCTATGTATTATGTGTGTGTCTCTATGTATATGTGTGTATATAAACACAAATAGAATAGAAAACTAACGCCAAGTTGTTACCACCAGAGAGCGCGAATGTGGAGTAATGATGAAGAGGAACTTGCATGTTTTATTCCACATCCATCTGCAGTGTATGAATCTTTTAAAATAAGTTATATTATATATTTCTCTGATAGATTACAAATAAGAGGAAAAATAAAGATGCTGGGCCTGGCTTTTTAGGGTACACTCTGATGGTAAAAACAAGTAGTTTATTTTATAACACAGGGAAGATGTTTGCTTCTAGTTTCTAGATGAAATTACAGAAGATAATGCATTTGGAAGACAGAAAGAAGCCCATAAACTAATATGCAATGCGAGCCTTTGATGGTAACTGGCTCATATTTTAGCCACATACTCCAAATGAATCCCAACATTTATCAACAAGCAGGATAGGAATATCTGCTTTCGTTGGCAATTGGAAAGGGAAGATAACTCTTTTTTCCAAGGGCCGCATATTGATGCTTTCAGGTACTCACCAAGTGTCTATTAGGCTTATAAATTGCATTATAGGAAAGGCAGGGCATATTACACAGCTATACAAAGAAAATATATGTAATATTACATTCCAGTTCTTACCAAAGTAGAGTGTTAAATATGTGCAAGGGAGATAGGATTGAGAAAGGAAAGGTGAAGTAATGCATAAAATGAAATTTAGCAGGAAATTCAACTTGCCTGGTGTTTATCTGGGTTGGGCACAACTCGACCACCGTTATACATAAATTACCACACATCCTCACTTCCCCTGTCCCTACCGTTTTTCTCTTTACTGGCCTTGAGAAAGTGTGTATAAAAGACGTCGAGAGAGGGTGAAAAGTCACTTAGCTGCAGACTCCTAGGCAGCCATTCACTCTTACCCTGAGGTCTCCTCGCTCTGGGAACAACTCCAGCTCAGTCTTCTCCACCATGAACCTCAGACCCAAGGCCACTTCCTCCTGTTCCAGTGCCAGCCCACTTTGGGTCCTACGGGTGTTGCTGCCACTGTCACTGCTGCTGACTGCACTGGTTCCCTCCATCGCCATCAGAGAACGTAAGAGAAACTTCGGGAAAGCTGAAGGAGGAGTCTGTGCTTCCTTGTGGCTGTGGCTGCTTCTGCTGCAGCTATGTCCGGGGGAAAGACTGTCCAGGACTCCTGGGGCTGGAGAGGTCATTATACCAACAACTCTAAGTGGAGGAGCTATGCTTAGTGGGCACTCAGCATGTGCTAGGCATTCTGCTGGAATAATTATACGACCACTAATCATGTACTAATCATGACCACTAATAGAGTCACACTTTCTGCCCTAGCTACAAGTGTGGACAGGGAGCTGTACGTTGAACTTCGCTGCTTGTGTCTGCAGACCACCTCTGGCGTTCATCCCAGCAAAATCCAAAGTTTGAAGGTCATGAGGGCAGGACCCCACTGCCACAAAGTTGAAGTGATGTAAGTCCCTGCTTCTGTGTTATGCGTCATTAAGGAAGCCCTCCACCTCTATCCCCACTGACACTAGTTTATCTAGCCTGGCGGATCCCTTCTGATAGTCAGGCCAGGACACTCACAGATAACTCTATTCTCTCTTGCAGAGCCACACTGCTGAATGGGGATGAAATCTGCCTGGACCCAGAAGATCCCAGACTCGCGAAAATAGTCCAGAAAATTTTGAAAAGTGATTAGTTAGCTGCTTAATCTGTTCATTTTCTGTCAAACCTCTTTGTCTCCCAGAAAGAATAGGAGTTTGAAGCCTTGACTTTCTAGAGTTCTTATTTATCCAGGATACCTACTCATACTGTATGAAAATTTGGATACGTTTTCCATTCTGCCTCAAAAAGTCACATGTTATTCTGAGAAGACTGGTTAATAGATGATAGAAGATGAAAGTAAGCAAGGCTAGTTTCAAAATATGATAATGGTTTACCCCCTAACCTGTGGCTAAAATGTGGCATTGTGCTTTGCATTTCTTTATTTAAAAATTTCTTTCCAAGTACATTTGTGTTAACTTATTTTGCTCTACTTTGCTGTTGGTCTAGACATGCCCATGATGATTAATAGATTCCATAATGTCAACGATATTAGAAATCACACACAGTCCAGCATAGAACACTTGCTCAATAAATGCTTGTTAATATGTTTAGGGACTTAATAGAGTTTTTCATTGTCTTAGTCCTAGGATGTCTTGTTTTAAACATTCTCTGAAAGATTTTTCTAATGTTTGTTTTAGCCTTCAAATACTAAAAATAATAAAGTTGTAGAATGTGAGTCTTGTAAGCCATGGTTATTTACTTTAAAGGGAATATACTTAATACTAGTAGAGCAAAAAATATATGATGAAAAGTATTAACATGCTCTATTAAAAAAAAACCAGTATTTTCTACAATAATAATAATAATATTAATAATAATAATAATACAGGTTGTTTATTGTTAATGCTGTTGATTCTGACTCCTAGCCACCCTGTGTACAGCAGAGCAGATCCCTGCCTGGTCTTTTTGCCCCACCCTCTCACCTTTCAGCACTGTATCAGACAATGCTCCTCTGCTGTTCATAGGGTTTTCATGGCCAATTCTTTTGGAAGTGGGTGGCCAGGTCCTTCTTCTTAGTCTGTCTTAGTCTGGAAGCTCTGCTGAAACCTGCCCACCATGGGTGACCCTGATGGTATTTGAAATCCTGGTGGCCTAGCTTTCAGCATCATAGCAACACACAGCTACCACAGTGTGACAACTGACAGACAGGTGGTGTGGTTCCCTGACCGGGAAAGGAACCCGGGCCACTGTGGTGAGATCCCCCAATCCTAACCACTAGACCACCAGGGCTGGCTAAATACAGGTTCTACTTGGTGTCAAATGTTTTGCCCTGGCATGTTTGTACATATTTGCCTTTACTTAATACTTACATGGTTACAATTTTAGTATTAGAATCAGCCTTGCAAATAAGTACAATAGAGAATTTAAACTTTGCCAGACTTCTAATTATTATTTTATAATCAACAGAACTTTCATGCATTTCTTAATTCCTTAAATTTACACCCACACTATTCTTACAGAAGTATTACCATCAAATCAAAATTTTGTATTGCTTTGTTGTCATATATTATTAATTTTAACAGAATCGTTGGTGGAAAAAAGCCTTAATTATCTTTTTATATTTTTTTACACTTTGATATTTCACAATACGGACAACAAAAGTCACTAGTTAATGATCTGTGCCATTTTTAATGTACTATAATAATAGCTAAACTTTACGAATAACTATACCAGGCATATTGAGTGTTTTGCATGCCTGAATTAAATAATTCTTACAAGATAGCTACGATCTGCTTAGGAGCATGTCCGTTCTCTGGAGAGAGAATAACTGCGTAACTTAGCTCTACCACTTGCTAGCTGTTTAACTGTGGGCGTTGAGTAACCTCTCTGGGCCTAAGTTTCATCATCTCTAAATGTGAAAATTATATTGTTTATCTCATACAGCTGACGTGAAAATTAAAAGAGTTAATAAATTCAAAGTGCTGAAAATAATGCATGTCACATGATGACCCATACATAAATATCACTGACTATTGACTATTGTTACTATTAGCATCTCCAGTGTCACAGAGAAGAAATCTGAAGTTCAAAGAGATTAGAAAATTTGCCCCAAGATCAGATAACTAAGTAGGTGACTGAGTGGGGATTTGAAACTGTGTTCTTAGCCATCACACCATTTTCCTTGATTCTGTTTTCTCTAGTGAAGAGATTACATTATATATCACCTAATGCTATTGACACACAAATTAGGACTCGATACATAATAGCATACTGCATATACTATGATGGTTATAGGAGAAGAAATAAGTTTACCCACTCCAACCTGCACATGGACCGTGGGGAACGTTTATGTATTAAGCATTTAGTTCACAAACATTGCATATTAAGGTTTCCTTTCATTATCTCCTCACTATTATAGGCTCAATGCCTTAAAATGTTTTGTCTACAAAATAAGTGCATTTATAAAGTAAATAGTTAACAAAAAATATACATAAGTAAACACATAATAAAGCAGTAAATAGGGATTGCAGTCGTTTTCATTAGTTTTTCTCTAACAATTCTAAATAGCTCAGACATATTGTTTATTTCTCTGGTGGTTTCCCACTGAAATCCAAGTCCAGCTCCTAAGACATGACACAGGTTTTGCACTATGCTAACACCTCCTAAGATGCAGACGTCTTTTATTTTTGTGTGTACATATTGAAGTGTTACATTTAACTCAGAGAAAGAATGATTTAATTGCCACTTACTGCTTCCTGGATTCCTTTACACTGCAAATATGGAAATCTGGGGGTAAGCTTGTACACATCCACTATGCTGCCCATTCATATCCAAACCACCCGTTCTATCCATTCCCTCTGCTGCTAACCCAATTTGAGATCTCAAGTTTCAGTTCCATAAGCATGCATGTAGGAATCACAACATATTCTGTACCAGCCATTGTGTTGGATGCTGGATATTTAAAAATATGTAAGTCACAGAGAATTGTCCTTGAAGAGATCACTGTCTGATGGGAGAGGCAGACAGGTTAATACATAATCACAACTGCACGTGACACACGTTAACATAGAGATATGCTCCAACTGCGCGAAGAAACAAACACATGAACAAGTCAAAGCCTCCTCCTCCTCATTTTCAACATTTATCATCTTCACTAACGTAGTGCTTTATATTGAGTTCCTTCCTACCAGTGTGCTAGATAAACCTTATCATCTCTCACCTCACAGAGCTTTCCTTTTAGGGAGATGTAGTTTAAGTCCTGACAGTTGTTCATTTTGTTTTGTTTTTCATTTTTTCTTTTTGTAATGCAATGCATGACTTAAGCTTTGATTGCTGAGACATCCATTTTCAAAGAGGCATCCACTTCAAGAGGGCTTTCTGGAATAAACACATTGCCAGTGCCACAGCTAGATAAAGAGCCAGCCCTCTCGCCCCCCACCAGGCTCCTTTGTTTCAGAGATAATGGTTGATTTAGATAACTCACCCCATGCTTTACATTCCCACTCTTATGTTTATTCACCAATAAATAGTGAGCCCACGAAACCCTAGGCCCCCACCCTTGACTCCCATAAAAGCAGAACTCCAGGCCCTTGCGCATGCTCTCTCTCTCTCTCCCCACAACCCCACTGTGTAATTTCCAGGTCTTGTAAGTAACAAACCTTTATTTTTTCAAAGTTTCCTGATGGTTATTGCCTAAAGGGGTCTTGCAATCATATTAAGAACCACAAGTGCTGGTTCATCCACAACATTGCTTACTGATAGGCTGAGACCAACACAAAACAGGAGAGAAACCATTTTAAATAGTTTTAAACACACACACACGTATATCTGTGTGTAAATATATATACAAGTGTGTGTGTGTGTTTGTGTGATCTGTGAGAAACAGGAAAAGCAGAGGGTGCTACAAGATACAACAACAGGGAACACAAATAGCTTTAGCTATCAGGAAGTCCCCTCTAAGGAAGTGATACTTAAGCTGACACCAGAAATATGAAGACAACTTAGCCAACTGAAAGGGTAGATGGTAGTAGAGTAAGAGAAAGAACATTCTAGGCCTAGGAATCAAATTGCACATCCTTGCAGAAGTCTGGTCCTGCTGAGAATTAAGAGGTCAGCTAGTTCCATGCAGTGGCCTCCTGATGCCCTTCACCACTGTTCAGCAGTGTGACAGACAGCATCTGGCTTTGAGATGAGGGAATACTTTGTCCTGATCAAGAGCCAAAGTCATTCTTTCTCAGGGAATGGAAAATGGTCCATATTGCTCTCTCAACCTTTTCTGTGCAGGATTCTGTTGCATACCCTCCACCATCTCTTCCACATCTTTTCCACACGGCTCCCAGATGCTCTGTGTCCTCCTGAGAGCATCACTGCCCCCGCCAACAGTGCAGCCTATCTCACCCTGTCACTGGTACTGGCCCAGGTCACAGCAGGCACTGGGAGATTTGGCCTGGAAACTCTCCTTCTTGACCTCTCTTCTGGGCTGAGCAGAATGGAGAAACATCCACGCATCAAGTTTTTATAGAAAGAATGCATTCAAATACTACTTTTATAATTTTTCTCCGAGTAAAAGGATAGATGAGGATAACAGACCTTGCTTCCTAGAGTATATTGGATGATGATTGGTAGAGTCAGGTAGATCTATTCAAGAGAGTGAGGAAGCCCTCCACCTCCGGGTGAAATTCAGCTTCGAGTCATCGCCTAGAGACCAAATTCAGCTTTTTAGTAGCAGAAAATGATTACAAACTACACACCTTGAACACACACAGCCGCCAAACTCAACTCAATAGTAATCAACAAAAAAAGCAGGACCGAAGGAGCAGCTCCTAATAAGGCAGTTGGGAGCTGGCGAGGGGGCAGAAACTCTCAGTCCCGAAGGGACGTGCTGCGTAAATGGCAACACGGTGACTACAGCGAGCTCTAGTATTACACAGAGCAAAGAAAACACACTTTTTTAAGGTTCAAGCACTGCTTTCAACTGCACAAATGTGCGTATATACGAATTCAGGTGGGTGTGTGGATTCTGCTACCAGTTCCCAGCCAAGACTGCAGACCCTGGGCTCTTTTTTTTTTTGACTCCCCTAATCTTGGCTGGCCAGAGCCAAGCTCTTCCCCGAAATGTCTCAGCTTCAGCAACGCAGCTTGCCACTCTCCATCCCAGGTTTCCGGACCGGACAGACGGTGGGGATAAAACGGGCCTGGAGAGTCTCGGGAGCCACCGGCCTGAGGAGCGTAGCGCCTACCGCCTCTGCGCTCTCGGCTCCTGCTGGCGCCTCCGCGACATGAGCCTCGGAGCCGCCCCCCGCCCCCGGCCCCGCCCGGGGCTGCTGCTCCTGGGACTCCTGCTCCTGGGACTGCTGCTCCTGCCAGCCGTAGTCTCCCTCGCCAGCGGTGAGAACAGAGGCAAGGCCGGGAGGGACCCGGGGAGCGACCCGGGGCAGCCCCCAGCACTTTGTTGAGCGCTTGCTAAGTGGCTAGGCGCTGTGCCAAGCGCTGCCCCGTGCGCTTTACCACGTAGTCAATAATACTTCCTTCTGAAAGAGGTATGATTTGTGGGTGAGGAAATGAAGGCAGTGGGGAAGGTCCCTAAGGAACCTTTGGCCACTCATGAAGTCACCTCTCCCTCCCCTCCTCCAACCTCTCCCCCACCCCCAGCAGATCCTGAAGGAGGAGATGGAGACCTGCGCTGCGTCTG